GATTCCCGCTCATGGCCTGCACCGGTGTCGATTACCTGAACCCGTCCTGGGCTTCCCCTAGGTCGACTCAGCTTCGAGTGAGTGAGCTGGCGTCACGTGTAACATCGCCACGAGACAGACAATGGCAGCCGGGCGTGGTGCTGGCCACACGCGACCGTGTTGGCCTTCATAGGTGCTCGCTTACAGCACTTGCCCTTACTGTATGTTAAGGCTACACGGGGGGGGGACCTTTGTCTATAGTGCGCACGGCATTGTGAAGGTTTGTGTCTGTGCTTGCACGTGCTCTTGAATGTGTTCACCCATGCACGTGTGCATTGTGCACAGGCTGTCAGGCAGCAGGAGCCACTGTGACGTTTGTCCCAGGGTTTGGCAGCTTTAATGACCCCCAGGACTCCCAGAGAGGGCCGCCTCAGTGTGATTAGGGACTCCGTGGAAACCAGCGGATAGCACCTTCATCCACACACGCACACACACAGAATGTGCGCGCATGAGCCGGCTCTGAGCGTGCTCGGAATTTTTATGGAGCCGAGCCTGAGCCACGGTTGAGCCGCTCGTGTATCTTTGAAAGCAACTGACTTACGCATCCTTGAGCTGAGCCCCCTCGAGCGATACGATCCACTCCGGTGCTCCACTACCATCGGCCCTAATTGCGATTTGTAAATTTGGAGAGCTGCGAATTTAATTAGCATGGAGAACCCGACACGAGTCTACGGCGCTGTTTAATTTAAAAATATATATTTAATTCGTGTCTCCTTTGCTGCCGTGAAGATGCTCGCGGCACGGTGAGGTTGAGGGAGGCCTGAACTATTGAAATTGGGCGCCACGGTGGAGAGATGTTAACTACCTCGCCTGGTATACAGGAGGTCGTGGGTTCGATCCCAACTTTCCGTGGTCGCGTGGATTTTTCTCTGGGTCCTCCGGTTTTCTCTTCCACATTTAGAATCAACATCACGCGTTATATTTGTCAACTATACATTTGAGCCGTTTATTTGAGCTATCATTTGTGGCCAGGTCGCTTCTAAAAAAGAAAGCTAATGTAGCTTACCTGGTAAAATAAACAAATAGTTTAGTGGCACGGCGAATCCTGGCACGTCAGGGGCACCCTGAGGGGTGGAACACCACGTGGTGCCTGCCCCATTATTCCACCATTCATGTCCGGAGATTAAACTGTTACGGTTGGAGAAGCACCTTCTTGATGAGATCATTCCTTGCCTATAATTGTTTATATATTAAGTCCAAATCCAAACCGGGCTGTGGTGGCTATGCACACCGCCTTTAATCCAGCACTGTGGAGGCAGTGAGGGTTGGTAGATCACCGCACAAATGTTTGCGAAACTCCCCAAAAGCGTCCAAGAGGTGCTATACCAAGGCATGCCAGTAGAGGGCAGTACAGCAAATAATGTAGACTCCACCTGTTCTGTCTGTATGGGATAGAGCGTTTCCCCCTCGCACGCGTGGGTTAATTACCTGGGTGCTACGGTTTCTTGCCGCATATAAACTCTCATTCATTGGCCGATAACACCTTAACATATCGAGGATCGCAAAGCTTGGGCAATTGATGGCGCTGGCTTACCGCGTGACTGCTGCCTTTCCACTTGTCTGTGGTTCCCCCTCGTGCCTCTCGAGTCGTCCTCTGCCGGCGAGAGCGAGCGAACACTGCGCAGCGGCGGCGCCTTTACAAGTCGACGCCGTTATTATTGTTTGTAATCCACTGGTCCGTCGTGTGGTCCTCTCTCATGAGATGTTAACTACCTCGCCTGGTATGCAGGAGGTCGTGCGTTCGATCCCGACCCTGACGCTTGCTGTATTTTTGGAGTTTGCGTGTCTCTCTCCGTGGACGCGTGGAGTTTTCTCTGGTGTTTACTTCCACACTTAGAATCAACATCATGCGTTTAAAGTATTTGGCTGCTATGATTTACACACGACAATCAACTTCGTTGGCCTAACATTTGTAGGCAGGTGGCTTCTGAAAAAGAGCTATATAGCTCAGTACGATAAAATAAAAAGTTTAGTTTTTAGTTTTAATATATTGGCACTTCTGCACTCACCCCCATCCTTGGTGGCCCTCCCTGCTCCACGCACAGGGACCCCTCCCTCCGAGAGGCGGACGCCGGCTGCTACTCGGCCACGCGCCTGCTGCCGACTCCCCCCCCCCTCACTCTGCCCCCCTATCTCATCGCATATCCGCGGGGCCGACTGCGTGATGAATGGGCGAGTAAATGAGGCAGCCGATGAGCCATCGCTCGTGAGCAGTGTTGCCAAAAGCAGTTCTAAATGATCGTTTTCTGCAAAGGCACACACACGCACACACGGATAATAAGAGTGTCGCGGACGCCAAGAGGGCAAAGTTGGGAGAAGGTGGCATCTCCGATTATCACAGTTGGCTACGTACGGTGCGAAAGAAGTTTAACATACATCAGCAACATACAAAGTGGTCCCAACAGTGACTGAGAACATCGGCAGGTCACCCCTGCATTTTTCTCTGGGTCCTCCGGTTTTCCCCTCCTGGATGCTGTACATTTCCACTTGATGATAAGCCACTTGGTTTAGCCATCATTCGTGATAGCCAGGTCGCTTCTGAAAAAGAGCCGTATAGCTCAGTGGGCTTTAGCTGGTAAAATAAAATAAAAAAAAACTAAAATTTTGATTTAATGCTTTCGTGACTGCAGGGATTCATATTCTTGGTTCTTTCGGTAAAGTCACGTAGAAGGGAAATAATAAAATTATATATTCAGCGGTTTTGATGCCCACTGCAACCACGTCGTTTATATTACGAGGGGGGCATCAATTTTTCATGCCACGTGGAGGGCGTCCTTTCCTTTACACCGGGACAAAGCGCTGCGGGGGGAACACGCGCCTCTCGAGTGAGAGGAGGAACACGCGCAGTGTACATACACACACGCACATACACACACACACATACACACACATACACACATACATACACAAACGCACATACACACACACTACGCAGAAAAGCGAATGAGTCGGTAATCCAACGCGGGATCCCCCCCCCCCCCAATCACTGTGGTCTGGCTTTGAGAGGATTTACTGTTCCTTAGATTTGGCCCTCGCGAGTGATTACCCCCGGAGTTGCCTCTCACGCCTCCGACTCGGCCTCCTGAGCTCATCCCGAGGCAAACATCCAGCCCAGCATCGCGGCTCCAGTCCCTGATCGCTGCTGTCCGAGACTCCGGATTGCACAATCCAGACTCCAACATCGATGCCGCAGGGAGATGCAAACTCAAGCACCGCAGCCCGCCCTGGAGACCAGAGGTCGCAAACGGGTTTTGATTCCTTACCCGTACCCGTACCCGGCCGCACCAGGGTCGTAAACGGGTACCCTACCCGTACCCGGCCGGGTACGGGTAGGGTACGGGTATCGGGTGCCTGATTGCGACCTCTGGGATGAAGCCATGTTGCAGGCGCGGGTGGGTTGATTCTAGGAACTTGAATTGTGAGAAGAGACAAGACGTTGGGAAATGAGTGACAAACGGTGACTCACCAGTGACTCACTGCGTACCCGTACCCGGCCGCACCAGGGTCGCAAACGGGTACCCGTACCGGGCCGGGTACGGGTAGCCGGGTATCGGGTAGGGTACGGGTATCGGGTACCCGGTTGCGACCTCTGCTGGAGACTCACCCAGACCCGGGACGAGGCGACCAGACCCGAGCCCCGACCCACGGCGGGTCAAGGTTCGATCACGAGTCGCAGGTGGAGGCGGCTGCAGCCCCACCACGCGTGCGGGTTCAGACCTCACCCCCACGCTCCGGGCAAGCCCCGCACCCCCCTCCCGCTCCTCCTCCTCCATCTCCATCTCCCACCCTTCCCCCCCACTCCGCAACTCATCACTGCAGCTCCCCCCGCGGAGCCCAGGGCCTCCTCCCCCCCTCCACTGCCTCCCCTCGCTTCCTCCTCATCCCCTGCTACATTCCCCTCCCCCTCCTGCCTTCTTCCCCTCTTCCACCCTCCTCCCCTCCTCATCCCCTTCTGCCCCTATCCCCCCCACTCCCCTCCTCATCCCCTTCTGCCCCCCCACTCCCCCCCTCATCCCCCCTTCATCTTCGCCCCCCTCATCCACCCCCCACTCCCCCCCCTCCCTGAAGCAGCGCGTCCGAGTGATGGGGGCGCAGATTCACGGCGAAGCGGGGAGGGGGGGGCAGGGGGGGGGAGGGAGGGGGGGCAGGGAGGGAGGGGGGGCAGGGGGGGAGGGAGGGGGAGCAGGGAGGGAGGGGGACAGGGGGGAGGGAGGGGGGGCAGGGGGGGAGGGAGGGGGGGCAGGGAGGGAGGGGGGGGCAGGGGGGGAGGGAGGGGGAGCAGGGAGGGAGGGGGACAGGGGGGAGGGAGGGGGGGCAGGGGGGGAGGGAGGGGGGGCAGTGAGGGAGGGGGGGCAGGGGGGAGGGAGGGGGGGCAGGGAGGAGGGAGGGGGGGCAGGGGAGGGAGGGGGGGCAGGGGGGGAGGGAGGGGGGGCAGGGAGGGGGGGCAGGGGGGAGGGAGGGAGGGCAGGGGGGAGGGGGGGCAGGGGGGAGGGGGGAAGGGCAGGGGAGGGAGAGAGAGAGAGGAGGGTGAGAGGTAGGGAGGGAGGGTGATGAGGGCACGAGGGGGAGGGAGAGTGGAGCGAGCAGAGAGCGCAGGGAGGGGGCAGTGGGGAGGGGGCAGTGGGGAGGGGGCAGTGGGGAGGGGGCAGTGGGGAGGGGGCAGTGGGAGGTGGCAGTGGGGGAAGGGGGAGGGGGCAGTGGGATGGGGGAGGGGGCAGTGGGGAGGGGGCAGTGGGGAGGGGGCAGTGGGAGGGGGCAGTGGGGAGGGGGCAGTGGGAGGTGGCAGTGGGGAAGGGGGAGGGGGCAGTGGGATGGGGGAGGGGGCAGTGGGGAGGGGGCAGTGGGATGGGGGAGGGGGCAGTGGGGAGGGGGCAGTGGGGAGGGGGCAGTGGGGGTGGGAGTTGGGGGAGGGGGCAGTGGGGAGGGGCAGTGGGGGAAGGGGGAGGGGCAGTAGCCAGCGAGTCGCGCCGTTTTGGAGTCGAGCGCGAGTGAGCCGCGCGGAGCGAGTTAGTGGCGAGAGTGGTGGCGGTGGCGGTCGCTGTTGGCCGTCGTTGTTGTTGTTTGTTGTTGTTGTTCTCGGCGAGTGAGCGAGTTGGCGAGTGCCGCGTCTGGCTGGAGAGGGCAGCGAGTTGGTTGGCGACGGCGGAGTGGAGACGCCGCCCGCCGATGCCGCGGCGCGCCGCGTTCGGGGTCCGCGCCGCCGCCTGCTGCTGCTGCTGCTGAGCGCGGGGGGGGCCCGGGGACATGGAGACCGGCGCAGGGGGCACCCCCGTGGGGGGCCCCGCGAGGAGGACGAGGAGGAGTGGGGGGCCAGGGGATACCTCGGGCCCCGTCGCCATCCTCGCCGCCGCCGTCGTCGTCGTCACCCTCGCGGCGTTCGGGTTCACGCCCGGTGAGTGAACCCCACGGGGACCCCTACCCCTACACACGGGGACCCCTACACACGGGGACCCCTACACACGGGGAGCCTGCACCGCGACCCCTACACACGGGGACCCCTACCCCTGCACGGGGACCCCTACACACGGGGACCCCTACCCCTACACACGGGGACCCCTACACACGGGGAGCCAGACCCATTCACCCTCCCTCGTGAATCCACGCGAATACAGTACACACACAGTACACAGTACACACAGTACACATCACACAGTACACACACACACTACACACAGTACACACCACACTACACACACACTACACCACACACGCTACACACAGTACACACACACTACACTACACCACACACAGTACACATCACACAGTACACACACACACTACACACAGTACACAGTACACACAGTACACACCACACAGTACACACACTACACAGTACACACACACACTACACACACTACACACAGTACACACCACACAGTACACACACTACACAGTACACACACACTACACACACTACACACAGTACACACCACACAGTACACACACTACACAGTACACACACACACTACACACACTACACACAGTACACACCACACAGTACACACACTACACAGTACACACACACTACACACACTACACACAGTACACACCACACAGTACACACACTACACAGTACACACACACACTACACACAGTACACACCACACAGTACACACACTACACAGTACACACACACACTACACACGCTACACTAGACCACACACACCACACACACTACACAGTACACACACTACACACAGTACACACACTACACACAGTACACACACTACACACACACTACACACGCTACACTAGACCACGCACACTACGCGGTGCACGTCGCGCTTTGTGCGAGTGGAGGTTTCCGCTCGCGCGTTCACCGGCGACTCGGGCATCGCGTGCGGGGATGTTGGTGGTGTTATTGGTGGTGTTATTGGTGGTGGTGGTGTTGTTGGTGGTGGTGTTGTTGGTGGTGTTATTGGTGGTGTTATTGGTGGTGGTGGTGTTGTTGGTGGTGGTGTTGTTGGTGGTGTTATTGGTGGTGGTGGTGTTGGTGGTGTTGGTGTTGTTGGTGGTGTTATTGGTGGTGGTGGTGTTGGTGGTGTTGGTGTTGTTGGTGGTGTTATTGGTGGTGGTGGTGTTGGTGGTGTTGTTGGTGGTGGTGTTGTTGGTGGTGTTATTGGTGGTGGTGGTGGTGTTGGTGGTGGTGTTGGTGGTGTTGGTGGTGTTATTGGTGGTGGTGTTGTTGGTGGTGGTGTTGGTGGTGGTGTTGTTGGTGGTGGTGGTGTTGGTGGTGGTGGTGCTATTGTTGGTGGTGCTGTTAGTGGTGCTGTTGTTGTTGGTGCTGTTGTTGGTGGTGCTGTTGTTGTTGGTGGTGCTGTTGGTGATGCTGTTGGTGGTGCTGTTGTTGTTAGTGGTGCTGTTGTTGTTGGTGCTGTTGTTGGTGGTGCTGTTGTTGTTGGTGGTGCTGTTGGTGATGCTGTTGGTGGTGCTGTTGTTGTTGGTGGTGGTGCTGTTGTTGTTGTCATTGTTGTTGGTGGTGTTGGTAGTGCTGTTGTTGTTGGTGTCTTTGTTATTGTTGGTGGTGTCATTGTTGTTGTTATTGTTGTTGGTGCTGTTGTTGTTGGTGTCGTTGTTGTTGTGCAGTGATGCTCCGAGCCTGCGACCCTCGAGTCGAAGCTCACTGCTGCTGCTGCTGCAGTGTCTTTGTGTTTGTGTGTACACAGCTGTGTCGTTGTGTGTCGTGTGTGTAGTTGTGTGTAGTGTGTGTTGTGTGTAGTGTGTGTATATATATAGGTGTGTGTGTGTAGTAGTGTGTGTTGAGTGTATTGTGTAGTGTGTGTGTGTTGTAGTGTGTGTTGAGTGTATTGTGTAGTGTGTGTGTGTTGTAGTGTGTGTTGAGTGTATTGTGTAGTGTGTGTGTGTAGTAGTGTGTTGAGTGTATTGTGTAGTGTGTGTGTGTAGTAGTGTGTGTTGAGTGTATTGTGTAGTGTATGTGTGTAGTAGTGTGTGTTGAGTGTATTGTGTAGTGTGTGTGTGTAGTAGTGTGTGTTGAGTGTATTGTGTAGTGTGTGTAGTAGTGTGTGTTGAGTGTATTGTGTAGTGTATGTGTGTAGTAGTGTGTGTTGAGTGTATTGTGTAGTGTGTGTGTGTAGTAGTGTGTGTTGAGTGTATTGTGTAGTGTGTGTGTAGTAGTGTGTGTGTAGTGTGTTGAGTGTATTGCCTACAATAGTGGGGAGCGGTGGGGTAGTGGTTAGCGCGCTACGCTGTGAACCCGGCGACCCGAGTTGGATTCCCGCTCACGGCCACCACCGGCGACGATCATCCGAACCGGTCCTGGGCCCTCCCCTAGGTCGACTCGGCCTCAAATGAGTACCTGGCGCGGTGCGTAAAAACATCGCCACTGGGGAGACAAAGGCGGTCGTGCGTGGTTGCTGGCCACCCAGCCCCCTTGTGTGCCACAGTGCTAACAGCACTTGCCCCGGACAGTCTGTGGCAGGCTACAGCGGGGGGATCTTTGTCTTTGTTATTGCCTGCTGGCTAGACAATTGGAGGCACCTTCTGGACTCGACTGGCACACAACAACCACCACCACAACAACAACCACCACAACAACCACCACCACAACAACAACAACCACCACCACTACAACAACCACCACAACAACCACCACAACAACCACCACCACAACCACTACAACAACCACCACAACAACCACCACCACCACAACCACCACCACAACCACCACTACAACAACAACCACCACAACAACCACCACCACGTGGTTGTTGGAGGCACAACAACCACCACCACCACAACCACCACCACAACAACCACCACCACGTGGTTGTTGGAGGCACAACCACCACCACAACCACCACCACAACAACCACCACAACAACCACCACCACGTGGTTGTTGGAGGCACAACCACCACCACCACCACGTGGTTGTTGAAGGCACAACCACAGAGATGGTGTGGCCACTGCCGCCTCGCACATCGATCCGAGACACGGACCCACCAGGCAAGAGACACATTTGTAATGGACACGGCGGCAAAAGTCGGCTCGCAGATTTAGTACATCAAGGACTGCATTGTAACAATCGCCCTTTACGTATCAGGAAGCCGCTGGGAGCAGCTAAGTTTGGCAACTAATTTCTTTAGAACTGCGGCTTTGTGTTACCGTAGTATGTTGTCTTCCCCACCTCCACCGCACCTCCGATTAGCTACGTACGGTGCGAAAGAAGTTCAACATACACACGCATCGTGTCGACTGACTAAGAGAAGGCGCTTGGGCTTGGGGGCGATTGTCTCTGGCCGTCTGTCAGCGGTCGACAAGAATTGCAGTGGCAGCCACACCACGGCCAAGGGGCTGGTGGGTTGGGGGTGGACACAGTCAACTCACGTGGGTTGTCAGGTTGGGGAGCACGTCATCCAGCAGTGGATCGATCGTGGCCGATGATGTGTTTGTGTGTTCACACCGCATGTCACTCCAGCTGTGTGTGTGTTTGTGTTGTGTATGCAGCGTGTATGAACGTGTTGATTAGTGTGTGTCTATTGTGTCCACGTGGGTAGAGCCTTCACGTTCTACTGCATACACGTGTCCCAGTGCATGTTTCTGAGGTGTGTCTATGTAGTGTAGTGTGTTTGTGTTGTGTGTTTGCGTTGTGTGTTTGTGTGTTGTGTAGTAGTGTATCCGCGTTGTGTAATGTGTGTTCTGTGTGTGTAGGCTGTGTGTGTTCACGCCGTGTGTACAGCCGAAACTCAATGTTTTCTTTGTGTATGTATCTATGTATTTATATTGTGTATATTTGCGTGTGTATCTATGTATTTTTATTGTGTATATTTGTGTGTGTGTGTTTTTGCGTGCGGTGTGTAAACATCAGCACTGGGGAGACAAAGGCGGCCGGGCGTGGTGCTGGCCACCCACCCCCTCGTGTGCCCTGTTCGCTTTCATGGCTGCGTCTCGCGAACGGAAACTTGGCTCGGGTAGTCTGCCCAGGGCTTGCATCGGGATCTTTTGCCTTTGTATGTGTACACGTGTGTACACGTCACGGTGTACGCGTCATTGTGTACGTGTCATGGTGTGCACGTCACTGTGTGCACGTCACGTGTGTGCACGTCACTGTGTACACGTCACTGTGTACACGTCATGGTGTTTGCGTCACTGTGTGCACGTCACTGTGTGCATGTCATCACGTCACTGCGTACACGTCACTGCGTATACGTCTGTCTCTGCGACTCAAACTCTCCGGCCTGCATTTCAAAATCCGTATTTACGATGCTCCAATAACACATGATACGGTATTTATAGACGCGGCTAAATTTACCATCACAGCGAATGAGCAAATGTGTGCACGCGCGTGAGAGACACGAGTGAGTGAGTTGGTGTGGTGGAGTGTGAGAGACACGAGTGAGTGAGTTGGTGTGGTGGAGTGTGAGTGTGAGAGACACGAGTGAGTGAGTTGGTGTGGTGGAGTGTGAGTGTGAGAGACACGAGTGAGTGAGTTGGTGTGGTGGAGTGTGAGTGTGAGAGACACGAGTGAGTGAGTTGGTGTGGTGGAGTGTGAGCGTGAGAGACACGAGTGAGTGAGTTGGTGGTGTGAGTGGAGACACGAGTGAGGTGGTGAGTGTGAGAGACACGAGTGAGTGAGTGAGTTGGTGTGGTGGAGTGTGAGTGTGAGAGACACGAGTGAGTGAGTTGGTGTGGTGGAGTGTGAGTGTGAGAGACACGAGTGAGTGAGTTGGAGTGGTGGAGTGTGAGAGACACGAGTGAGTTGGTGTGGTGGAGTGTGAGAGACACGAGTGAGTGAGTTGGTGTGGTGGAGTGTGAGTGTGAGAGACACGAGTGAGTGAGTTGGTGTGGTGGAGTGTGAGTGTGAGAGACACGAGTGAGTGAGTTGGTGTGGTGGAGTGTGAGCGTGAGACACGAGTGAGTGAGTTGGTGTGGT